TTACAACTCCGAGCATCACCCCTCAAAAAAGGTCCTCACAGCCCGGGGCACTGGGAAGGAGTCTCTGAGATGCTGGTTGCTCCAGCATGCCCATCCCCGGACCACCCGGCCCCAGGCAGGGAATACCCTGGCGCGGGGGCGAAGGGAGGAGGGACAGGGCATGTCTGTGTCTCCGCGGAGTCGCAGGGTGCGCGCATAGCAGGCTTCGGCTACAGGGGGCTGCTCAAGCTGCTCCTTGTCTAGCGCACTCAAGGGCACGCACCCCTTCGGCCAGGCAGCCCAGTGCAAAAGCATTTTCGCAGCTCCCAGAGCACACACACAGCTGTTTTTTGTTGGGTGGCTTGGTTTTCTTTTTTTTTTTTTTTTTTTTTTTCATTTTCCATTACGAGCGATTAGATGGTGTCTATTCAAATTTGCTGATCCAGAGAGAAAATAGGAGTAGATAAAAGGAGATTTCAAGAGACCTCCTCGTCCTTTTCACACCAACCTGAGCCCCAGAATAGCCAAGGATCAACTCGGACAAAAGCCCTTTCCCTTTCCCTTTCAGCTTCAGAAGATTCGGTGGAAGGGGTTAACAATAAAACATATAACTCTAGACCCGTTTGATAGGATCAGGCAATTTTGTGTAACTTATTAACGACACTGTTGGATATGTCTGGGCTTAACCCCGAGAAACGTGTGAATAATTATATTTTTAAAAATAATAAAAAAGCCTTTGCACCGTAAAAATATGTAGCAGTCATTTATAGCTTTTGTGTTGGGCTGGAGCGATCTACTGTGTTTATTCTGTTTCATTTAAACTTTATCTGAAGCGCAGCCCCGTCCTCCCCACGCAGACAGAATATGCCGTAATAAACATATCTTGCTCCTGACAGTTTCAATGGAAATGCTAAGGTTTATTACTCAGATCAATTTTCTGATTAATAAATATGATTATATCGCTACTACTCTACCATTGCTGAGTATTTGCCAGCAAACATACTTTTCCACAGTTTTATCTCGGACGCAGGGGAGAAAGTGACATTAAATACTTAAGCATCTTGGAGCCGGTCTCTGGTCTGCGGAAAGTCCAGCTCAAATCTACTCCTGACTGACTAATCCCCTCAGTAAAAGAAATGGAATCTCTGACAGGTAACTATTAAGGAAATTATTATATACTGCCGTCGATGGCGTTGTCAGGACAATCTCACGACTTACAAACTCGTTTCCAAGCGTCAGCTCTTTATCAAAATCTCCAGCGCAACTCAGAATCATAAAAACACCAAATTCAGCCCTAACAGAAGGTGAAAGCATAAAATACAGTCGGAACTGTTCAGTGCAAAGCGTTATGCTAGTGGTTTTTGTAATTTTTTTTTCTCTTGGCTTCAGCGCTCTGATCACTGCAGCTTTATTTGTGCCGAACGTAAATATTTGGTCCTGGATTCACGAGTGTGTTGAAAATTATTCCCAGATTTTCCTTATACAGGAAAGTTTGATCTCCATCCAAAGGTCATCAGTTTCTGTTCCTGCAGCTCTACTTGGGAATTGTTATGCTTCTTTGTGCTGTTAGAAAAGTGGCCTTCGCTTTGGGTGCCTTCTCTTCCCGTCCTCACACAGACAGCTTTTTTTTTGTTGTGCGCTTGTTGGTTGGGGCTCTGTGTTTTTTTAGTTTTGCTTTTGGTTTGGTTTGGTTTTTACTTCTAGGCACAGATTTTTTTAATTTTTTTTTTTTTTAATTGGGGAAAAAAGGCTGACTGTCGGGTGCTCAGGCGTTTCTGTCTGTAGGGATAACGAGCGCCTGCTTTCTGGTTGGCACTGGAGCCCGGTACTTTGAGTGCTAACAAATGACAAACCCCGGCTCGGCGCGGAGCCGCTGCCGGAGAGGATGCGGGAACGGCAGATTGCCTTCTCGAGGGCGTGGCGGGGGGAGTTGCGAGGGCCGCTGTCTCACTGCTTTTTTGCCAATCCCGTCTAAAATAATTCCAGGGAAGCAGGCGGTGTGCGCGGAAGGGAAGGGTGGTCGCGCCTCTGGGTTAAACACACGCGGAAGGCGAGGAAGAGCGGGCACAACTCGGCGGGGTGGGACACAATACCCCGTGGGTTGCGAGACCCAGCAGCAGCTTTGGATACCGCGGGGATGTCGGCCGTCACCCCAAGATGGTGTTTCACAGAGGAAACGAGGGGAAGGAGTACTCTCCAAAGAGTGGGGGTTTTGTTTGGGCTTTTTTGATAAATAAATAAATAAATAAAGCAGGTTGTGCATGATGGAGTGGCCCGGGGCATGTGCGGCAGACGGGCGGAGGGGGAGCTCAGCAGGGAAAGGTGGAGGGCCTTGTTTCCCAAGCCCAGTCGCCTTCGGTGGGAAGTACTGAAACGTCCTGGGCGACTGACTAAGGTGATTGTGATAGGGATACCAGGAGGGGGGAGATACCGGAACGTCCAGGGTTGGATGGGCCCACCTTCGGCATCAGGCTTCCTTTAGAAAGAGACCAGGGTTGGCACAAAGCGTCCCAGAGTGCTTCCCTCAGGACAGCTGCGGGTGGGTGCTGCAGGAGGCAGCGAAGGAGCAGCGCAGACCGCCCGGGAGGAGCTGGCCCCGCTCAGTCACATCTCCCCGGGGTGATGCCACTCACTGGAGACCACCTGCCCAGGGCAGGGGGTGACTGCGTCTCCTCCAGAAGCACCACCTCCCGCACACACACACACACACCATATGTTGCGTTCCTTAAGAAACTTAGTTATCCTTCAGATCTGGCTTGAGCGGAGGCAGGAAAAGGAAGGAAAAAAGAAAGGGAGAAAAAAGGCAAATGGAGAAAAAGGCCTATGAGGAAAAGCCCCAGCATTGCTGATGGGAAATGAGGCCTGGCTGGGGCACCACCAGTTGTGGAGGCCTGGAACAGCAGTGCCACCCCCAGCCTGGCTGAGGGCCTGGGGAGCAGCAGGGCTGGGACACACAGTTTAGACTGGGGGCGGGGGGGGGTCCAATGTGACTGTTCACATTTCACTCTGCAGCAGGCCGGCCCAGGAGAGAGGCCGCGCAAAAAGCTCCAACCAAGGGATGAAGACAGAGGCTGGGGGAAACCCCAGTACAACACTCCAGTTTAACAGCCTGTAGGTGTCCACAGGTCAGAACTGAGGACGACTAAATGCACTAAAAATTGAAAGCAAGAATGAATTTTTTTTTTTTGCAGGCCAAAGCTGTTCACTGCACCCTAAGTGTGCACATACTGTCCTTCATCTACCCCATTCCATAGGTGTGTGCATATATATGTGGGTATATGTATGTATGTCCCTGTGTGGGTACTTTTTTCAATGTGTGTGGTATGTGTATGTGTATGTGTATATATATATGTGTGTGTGTGTGTGTGTGTGTGTGTGTGGTGCCTTGTGGAGCTTGGCAGCTGAAGAAGGCACTTATTTGTGCAAACACAGGCTTTGTATCCGAGCTCCCAAATTACATGCAGCCGGGCCACTTACAAATCCACCACTAATCTCCAGAGGAACTTTTCCTTTCTGCAGGGGACAAGAGAGGAACCAGTGCCATTCTGGGCTGGGTTACACGAGGAAGGAGATAGGGGTGGAGAAGAGAGATACAGAAAGGAGGGAAAAAAACCAAACAAACAGAAACAACCAAAACCACCCGTTAAAGCCTTCCAAAACTCTCCCACCTTGAGATCCCAGCCTTGGACTCTGGCCTGGGGAAAGTAGCATCTAGTACGACAGAGGGAAAATTAATTCTCCAAGTTCCCAGCTCCATCTCCTTTACACATTCCAGATCCACAGAGGTTAAAAAAGGAATCAAAGTTCATTTCCCAATTAAATGTCAGTTGTGACCGTGTCCCTGTAATTTGTTGAGGAGAGGAAATGCCTCTCGTCGACTGATCTCTGCTTTAACCTGGTCAACACAAGCATGAGACCTTTATTGATGGATGCCCAGAGTCCCGTCTCCCCTCCCCAACAGGCTACTGCACAGCCACAGGACGTCGGAGATGGGTTTCTCCTCGGGACTCCCGCAAACTTCACCGGCCTTCACCCATCAGCTATTTCTACAAATCCCGTTTAAAAGCTGCTTTTCCTCATCACGGAGCGAATGAAAACCACCAAGCGCTTCCAGCCAGACGAAGGGAAAAAATTTCTCCCCGCCGCACAACCCCCCGTTGCCCAGACTAGCGCAGTCTGAGCATGTTTAGGCTCCCTCTGTATTACAATTGTGCCCAGCCCGGCTGGGAAACATCTGATTACTGCCCCTGTAATCTGTTGACACTATCACCCAGATAAACAAGCTGCCATCGATCTTTTCATTAGGTGATCGAGTAACAAACAAAGCAGGTGAAAGAGAAGAACGCTGGAATGCTTGCACGTCCCCAGCCCGGCGCCTGCGGCTGCAGCTGGCCCTGGCACCCAGGTCGGTGCCTGCCGTACCTGCGTGGGTCACCTCTGTGATACACGCGCGTTATATGGGGAGGGGAGCAGTGGAAATTCCCACACATGTTCCTATAGGGGGAAAGGGGAACGGAAGCGAAGAGGGAGAAAAAATCTCGGACAGAATGAGGACTAGGCGCCTTTCACTCCTCCCAAATGCCGGGATGCCCAAATGACGCCAGGGGAGGAGGTGGCCCGGGGGGGGGGAAGGACTGGGGAAGGTCTCCTTGCCAAGTGTCGCGGCCTTGCTCCCCTCCCTCTGCCCCGAAACCACGAGGAAGGAAGCGGCGACTTGCCTGGGGTGGCCCGGGGAGCCGGGGCCGTCGGCAGAGTGCCCGGTCCGGGAGGAGCTGGGCTGCGGCTGCTGTGTCCGTCCACCTTCTCTCAGGCTTTCTGCCTCTGTCTGTGTCTGTGTCTGTGTCTGTGTCTCTGTCTCTCTCTCTCACTCTCTCTCTCTCCCTCTCCCCCCCCCTCCGTGCCTCGCTCTGCCTCTTTTACTCCCTGTCTCTTCACAGTCTGGGGAGTAAAATCTAGATGATACACATACGGAGCTTGCTTTTTTGTCCTATTTAATCTTATTCGTTTCACCTTCTCACTGATCAAGAGACAGGACGGAGACTTTATTTGGAAAGAGCGAGAGAGAGGAAAGAAGCCTACTGTTGCATAGTCAATAACATCCTTTTTATCAATGCAATATACAACAGAGACGGCTTGGCCAAGGGGCTCATTGAAAATCTCTTCATTATTTCGGGACAAAATCAAGCATTATTCTGATCTTAGAAATGATGAAGGAATCTTTTCTTCAGGCGGCTCCCAGCCTCAGATTTCAGAGTCGACAGGGAAAGAAAAAAAATATCATTATCACTATGCATCAAATTTGACGGGCTTATTTTTTTCTCTTTACTTTTAATTAAAGCAACATCACTTTACAAAACTAAATAATAACAATAAAATTTCTGTCACCTATTTAATTCACTTTCCTTCTGCAGGTTTTCCATCCACCTTCTAATCTGACTATAAACTTTATTGGGAGCTACGAGAAAGGTATGGTGGCAAGTAGAGGCGCCTGGGATTTTAGTTTTGGTGGGATTTTTTGTGGCGGGGGGGAGCTGTTCAGTTTTTACAGTCTGCTTCTTCTTTGTCACATGCAGTCTTTCGAACCAAGGCAAATTTCAGATCCCTGACAAAAGGGAAGCTGCCTCTAAGGCCGGCTTGTGAGAGAGACAGAAATTGAAAAGAAGAGGGTCTTCTCCTCAGTGCAGTTTTCTATTTAAAATAAGAAAGGGGAGATGCATTTTTTTGGTAAAAGTAGGGGGTGGGGTGGAAGACTGCAGACAGGCGCGGAACCCCCTGCTCGCCGGGCTCCCCCGGGCCGAGGCTCCGTGCCCACTAGATGGCAGCCGGAGCCAGCGATTCCCGCTCGCCGAGGCCGGGGCCCGGGCCGGCAGCGGAGGGGAGCGCAGGGCAAGGGGGGGACTGACACCCCCGCAACCCCCCGCGCATCCCCCCTCCCCGCGTGGAGCACTTGGAGACATCAGGAGAGCCGGGGGAAGGGGAGCGAGGGGGAGGGCACTGCCTGCAGGGCGGTGGGGGTTATGCTGACTGCTCACACACCCCCCAAAATAAAATTAAAGGGTAGAGGTGAAACCCATGCGAGAAGCGTGGAGCCCTGCGGGGCTGCGGGTGGACATGTTAGGTGAGGAATGAGGGGTGAGGGACGAGGGACAGGCTGCAAAAATAGCCCGAAGTGGGATGGGAACATATGGGGATTTGAATATGTGTGTGGACTCGGCCGCGTGTGGTCTGCAAGGGTGTGCATATACGGGCGCCTGCTCCTCCGTGCAGCGCGTGTTTCCTTCTCCATCATTAAAACCCCTGGAGTGGCTTTTGCACCTGGAAAGCGGAAGATAAATCCCTATTTCAGATCTGTAGGGGAAAAAAACAACAACCAAAAAAAATAAAAATTAAAAAAAAAAAAAAAAACAAACCACAATCAAAACAAAAAACTCCAACCCACACTAACTTTTCACAGGGAGCCCACATCCATCGTGTCCTTTTAATTGCATCTTTCTGCCTATCGCAATGCATCCTCCTCTGGCCATGTGTGTGATGGGTTGGGGGGGTAGAGGGGTCATAGACGACCCATACTAATCAGGTCTCAAAGTAAATAGCAGCACAGGGGGATCTCAGTGTAAATTGTGCTTGTCAGAAGAATCTCCTCTCCCTCTCTCTACTCTTCCTCTCTCCCTCCCTCCCTCCCTCCCCCCCCCCTTTTCCTTTCCCTTCCCTATCCCATTCAGTAGGTAGTGAAGAATTTTTTTTCATTTAAATTTTTTAAAAATAAAGGGAAAGAAAGAAAGAAAATAAAGAAAAGAAAGAAAAGAAAGGAAAGAAAAGAAAAGAAAGAAAAGAAAGAAAGAAGAAAGAAAAGAAAGAAAAGAAAGAAAAGAAAGAAAAGAAAGGAAAGAAAAGAAAGAAAAGAAGGAAAAGAGAGAAAAGAAAGAGAAGGGAGAGAGAGAGGAAGAAAAAGAAAGAGAGACAGAAAGGGGAGAGAGAGAAGAAGAGAGAAAGAGAGAAAGAGAGAAAGAGAGAAAGAGAGAAAGAGAAGAGAGAAAGAGAGAAAGAGAGAAAGAGAGAAAGAGAGAAAGAAAGAGAGAAAGAGAGAAAGAAGAAAGAAGAAAAGAAAGAAAGAAAGAAAGAAAGAAAGAAAGAAAGAAAGAAAGAAAGAAAGAAAGAAAGAAAGAAAGAAAGAAAGAAAGAAAGAAAGAAAGAAAGAAAGAAAGAAAGAAAGAAAGAAAGAAAGAAAAGAAAGAAAGAAAGAAAGAAAGAAAGAAAGAAAGAAAGAAAGAAAGAAAGAAAGAAAAAGAAAGAAAGAAAGAAAGCAAAGCGCGGGGGGGGGGTGGGACGGGGGGGGGAGTTGGGGGGTAACCAATGGAGTGAAGGAGGCTTGGCTAACCTTAGCCTCCCATTTTCTCTCCCCCCAGTTCAGGGCTCTGACCAGTCAGTCGCCTTTGATTATCAGTTGCCAGCAGCCCTTCTCTTGGCTCCTTGACACGAGCTCCATATAAGGCAGCGATCTCCATAGAAACGTGTCAGTTTCAATAGTAGTGTCAAAGTTCACTATATACAGACATTCGCGCAGATCCCCCTTTCGGAAACATTGCTTTGCTAGGCTTCCCGTTTAAACGCATTCATTTTTTGGGTCTCTCTCTCTCCCTCTCTCTCCCTCTCTCCCCCTCTCTCCCTCTCTCCCTCTCTCCCCCCCTTCCCTTTCTTGCATATTCTATTAGTTGTGTGCCCCCCCTTCATCTCCCTCTTCTCCTTCCTTTTCTTCTTTTTTCCACCCTTCCTCCTTGTGTCTTTCGCTTCATTCCTGCAGGAGAAGAGGAGAGAGGTGAAACTGGAAAAAAAAAAAAAAAAAAACAAACTCGGAAAGAAAGAAAGAGAAAAGGGGGAAAGGAGAGAGAGAGAAACAGGGGGGAGGGGGAAAGTCCGGAGAGAGAGAGAACGCGTTCACATCTTAATACCGTTATTATTTTGACAATTCTTGCCTCTTTTTTTATTTTGGGGGAGGGCTTCTCTTCTGGGTGATGAGTTTTTTACACGAAATACTTTTTTTAGGCAACTAAACAAACAAAAAAGAGAATATTTTTGGGGCGATTTCCACCGTTTTTCTTCCTTTTTTTTTCCTCGCAACCAGTATCGTGCGCTCTCACAGGAGAAGAACACCGAAAAGGCAAGAAAGAGGAGAAGAAGAGGATTTATTTACCGACCTACTTTGGATCTCTCTTTTTCCTGCAAGTGTCATTATTATTCCCGTTCTCTATTTTTACACTTCGCCGTGAATTCGTCTCCTCTGCGAATTTAGTCACATCCGATTTTTTTCTGCGATTTAAAAAAAAAAAAAAAAAAAAAAAAAAGGCGAGAGAGAGCGCGAGCGAGCGAGAGAGACAGAGAGCGAGAGAGAGCAGCTCGGGAGAGAAAGAGCAGCGACCGGCAACCTCCTCCTCCTCCTTCCCCGCCGCCGCGACAGGAGATCAAACTGCCTCAGCTCCCCGCCCGCCTCCGCCGCGCTCCCCGGCTCCACCGCCCTGAATGGCTGACGGCGCCCTGCCCTGGACCTGGCCCCCGGACACCTCCATACTCTGATCGCCGGCGAGCGGCTCCTCTCTCGACCTCCCGCCTCCCCGAGAGCCCACACCGGCACCGGCGGCGGCGACAGCGGCGGCGACAGCGGGCGGCGACAGCAGCCTCCGCGGGAGCGGCGGCGGCCGAGCCCCGGCGGCGGCGAAGCGGCGAGCGGCGACCTCCTCCTCCTCCTCTTCCTTCCCCTCCTCCTCCTCCACCTCCTCCTCCTTTTCCTCCTCCTCCTCCTCGGCGGCGCCGCGGCTTCCTCTATGCCTGCACATCCTCCGCGCTCGTAGCGCCCGGACCGCGTGTGCCTGTGCCCGTGCGTGTGTGCGTGTGCGCGAGTGGGGAGCCGTGGTGCCGGGCGATTGCGCGCGTGTCTGCCTCCTGCGTGTGCGTGTCCGGCGTGTTACTCTCCTGAATGCCTCTCCCGACAGCCTTGTTTGCCGTTTCTGATTTTGCAACTTGAAGTGGCGGCGGAGGGGGGGGGGGGGGGGAGGGCGAGGAGAGGCAGTGAGAGCCGGGGAGAGCGGGAGCAGAGGGGGAGAAGCGGTCAGGCGGGGGTATTTTAAAGAGGGGGGATCGCTGGAAAGGGCAGGGAAGGGAAGGAAAGGAAAGGAAAGGAAAAGGAAGGGAGGAAAAGGAAAGGGAAGGGGGGGGGAAAGAGAGAGGGAGAAAATCCTCCGTCGCCCCCTCCCCCTCTCTAAAAAAAAAAAAAAATTAGCAAGAGCGCGAGCGAGAGGAGGGGGCTCGCGGCGGCGAAAAATAAATAAAATAAAGAAAACGGCAGGAGCGGCTCCAGCCGGCAGCAGCGGCGGCGGCAGCAGGGCAGCGGCGGCGGCAGCCGAGGCGGAGGCAGGCGGCAGCAAGGGTCCCCTCGCTCTCCGCTCGCCCCCGGCGCCCGGGCGGCCGCCACCCCCCCGCCCCCCGCCTCACTCCCCGGCAGCCCGCAGCGAGACGCGCCGCTCCCCAGCACTTTTTGGGCCCGAGATATGGCAATGGTAGTTAGCAGCTGGCGAGATCCGCAGGAAGACGTGGCCGGGGGCACTCCGAGCGGCCCCAACCCCGCCGCGACGCAGCCGGCCCGGGAGCAGCAGCCCCAGCAGCAGGGGAGTTCGGCCACCCCACACACCCCGCAGACCCCCAGCCAGCCGGGACCCCCCTCCACGCCGGGAACGGCCGGAGACAAGGGAGCGGGCCAGCAGGGCTCGGGGCAGAGCCAGCAGCACATCGAATGTGTGGTGTGCGGAGACAAGTCCAGCGGCAAGCACTACGGCCAGTTCACCTGCGAGGGCTGCAAAAGTTTCTTCAAGAGGAGCGTCCGCAGGAACTTAACTTACACATGCCGCGCCAACAGGAACTGTCCCATCGACCAGCACCACCGCAACCAGTGCCAGTACTGCCGCCTCAAGAAGTGCCTCAAAGTGGGCATGAGGCGGGAAGGTGAATATTTCTTCCCTACTATGCTATCGCTCCCCTCTCCCCTTGGCTGTGCAGGCGTGCGTGTGCGAGGGCTCTCGGTCTGTCTGTGTCTGCCTGTCCGTACACGCACACACGCGCACCTATATGCATATACATACGCACACACACGCGCGCACACGCGCGGCGTGCAAACACACACACACATAAATATAAATATGTAAAAATAAATACACACACACACATACATATGTTTGTGTGTATGTATAATATATATATATATATATATATATATATTTACAGCTCTCCGTAGCAATCCAGCCAGGACTCTCTATATATTTCCATGCACATGTCAATCTCTTCCTCTGCCTGCACTCCATCTGGCAGCTTTGCACCAGGTTCTGTTGTTATTGTCGATGGTGGTTGGTGGTGTTTTCTTTTGCTTTTCGGTTTGTGCCTCCTGCCCTCCCTCCCGCTTCTCCCCACCCCCTTCTCCGGTACTGCCACACTCTCCCCTTTCCTGATAGTTGTGCAGAGAATTTATTATTATTATTATTATTATTATTATTACTACTATTACTATTATTACAATCGCTTGCTAAATATTTATCATTTAGCCTCTATCCCCACTTCCCCCTGCGCGCGCGTGTATGCGTGTGTGCGTGTGCGTGTTTTAGATGTGGTTTTGTCTATTGTTGGCATGAGACCGGAGGGTGGGGGGAGATACATCTTTCTCCCGTACGAGATGTGACTCCATTCAGCTTCCTTCCCCCTCACCCCCTCCCCACCCCCTTTCCACCCCATCATTTCTTTTTAAACCTGCAATACCTCTCGGTAGATTCATCTCTCAGGCTCATTTTTCCCGAAAGAAAGATGAAAGACGTGTAATTAGAGAAAGAGGAAAGGGTGTGAAAAAGATGGAAGGGAGAAAAGGGAAAAAAAAAAAAAAAAAGGAGGGGAGGAAATGTGCTACTCTATCTTCGCTTCCCTGTGCTTCCCGGTGCCCCGGAGTGTGCTTCTGTGAGAGATTTGGCCTTGTTTTCATTCCATGCGTTCAAAGGAAAGTTTATGACTGAATCGTGTTTCTGTACTTCTGTCATTTCTTTCTTTCTATTTTTTTCTTTTTCTTTTCCTTTTTTTTTTTAATGCGTTGCTCATTTTATTTCTTCATCAAACTCCACCCTCTCCTTAAAGTCTTCATACAAATCTCGATTTATAACCTCTTTACCGGTTCTTCTCATTTTAGCAGCATCCACAGCCTGCATCTGCCACGGGGTCCCCACTATTTCCAACTGCTCTGCTTTTTTTTTTTTTTTTTCCTCCTCCTTTCCAAAAGTTGTCTGTGGTTTTCCTTGCGTTCAGACTCATTCTCGTGTATGGGGGATTTCCTGCCCTCTTTTCTCCTTGAAACATGTTCTCTCGGTTTAAAGTTTACCCTGTGATTGTCGTTAAAGATGTTCTAAAGATGTCACATCAGCGAAATAGTTGATTCTCCGGAGCAGGGATTTTAAAACTGTATTTTATATGCCACAAGAAAAGGAATTGAATTAGGCTGCTCCAGATCTGAAAGAGCTCACAAATATGATGGCTTCATTGGTAGCTGCAGGGGCTGTTAGTAGGCACCTGGGAGAGTGGAGGCAAGCAATTTTTTTTAAAAAGGAAGGAGGAGAAAAAATAAACAAAAAAGTGAGAATTGTGCACGCAGTTAAATGAAAAATATCTACCAAGTTTGCAAGTAGATTGAAGAGGGAGAGGTAGGCTGGAGGGCAGCAGGACAAGGTGTGGGCCCGGGTGGCGAGGAGGGCTCGCTGGGGAAGAAAAGAGAAAGTTGAGAAAAATGTGGCACGCCGGAAAAATGAGTGATTGCATGTGCGGGTGTGTGCCAGCAAGCGTGTGCGGTTGTGCGGGGTGTCTGTGTGTGCAGGGTACGAGCCTGAGTAGCCGTATCTTCCCTGAAGTTACATTTGTTTACATGGCAAGCGGCTGCAAACGCTGGCACTGATGGAGTAAAACACATGCACACACTAAAAAAAAAAAAAAAAAAAAAAAGAAAAAGAAAAAGAACAACAAAAAAACCCCAACTTTGGTCAGCTTTCGGGACTCGAGGCATGCTTACGCTCTGTGTGGAGATGGTTAATGCATCCAGTGTTTTTGCAGTTGCAAGCTTGTGCATTCACTGTGCAACGCTGACTGCAGGCTTTTGCAGTGGCAACAGCTCACCAAAGATATTAATTACACCGTCCCCTTTTTTTTCCACGAATGTTTGGCTATTGTAAGTTCGGACATTTTTATTTTATTTCTCCCTTTCCCTTGATAATATTTAACCTTTTTCTTCCTTTTAGCAGGGAAAACTTTGCTGGGCGGGGGAGGGGGGGACTCGATGGAAAGCTGGTTCTGTGTATAAAGTTAGCAGTGGGGAGCTGGAACGCTGCGACCTGTTCCAGCTTGAAGGGTAACGACGAGGTATTTTTGAAGAATATGGACGCATTTGGTTTTATGAATTATTTTATTTAATATTTTATTCTAAAGCGCTATACATCAGTTTACTTGTAAATTTCAGTAGTATCAGGGCAATAGGCTGGATTCACAACAGAGCTTGGATATATTTTTTACAGTTGGCTGTGATTTTTAACTCTACTTTCTTACCACCCGGAGGACTTCTTTGATTTTTTTTTTTCTTTTTTTTTCTTTCTTTTTGGTTTTCTTTTTTTTCTTTTTTTCTTTTTTTTTTTTTTTTTTTTTTTTTTTTTACGTGCGGGGCTTTCTTTTGTTACGAGAGGGGAGGGGGGAAGAGGGGGTTGTGTGCGGATTTGTCTTGTTTGCCTTGGCTTTTTTTTTTTTTTTTTCCTTTCTTTTTAATCTGTTTATTTTGTGAAGCCTGTCTGCATTGTGGTCGGGGGTGGGGGGAGTGGAACGCGCTTGGCTGCCGCTGAGCTGAGGCTGCCTGAGCAGGGGTCGGGGCCGGGGCCGGGGCCGGGGCCGATGCAGGGGCCGGGCGGGGGGCTCAGAGCAGGTCGGCGGCAGCTGCCCGACTCCGCATGCCTCTGTCTGTCCGTGCCTGTGCGTGTGCCGGGGGCGAGGCGGTGGCGGGGAGGGGAAGAAACCCGGCATTGTCTCCGGCTGGTTGGCAGCGCCGCCGGGGCGATGCCTGCGAGCCTCCTGGATGCACATTTCCTCTCCTTCTCTCCTTCTTTTTGTCAGCGGTTCAGCGAGGAAGAATGCCGCCCACCCAGCCCAACCCGGCCAGTACGCGCTGACCAACGGCGACCCCCTGAACGGGCACTGCTATCTCTCGGGATACATCTCCCTCCTGCTGCGGGCCGAGCCCTACCCCACCTCCCGCTACGGCAGCCAGTGCATGCAGCCCAACAACATCATGGGCATCGAGAACATCTGCGAGCTGGCCGCCCGTCTGCTCTTCAGCGCCGTCGAGTGGGCCCGCAATATTCCCTTCTTCCCCGACCTGCAGATCACCGACCAGGTGGCCTTGCTGCGGCTCACCTGGAGCGAGCTCTTCGTCCTCAATGCTGCCCAGTGCTCCATGCCCCTCCATGTGGCCCCGCTCCTGGCCGCCGCCGGCCTCCACGCCTCCCCCATGTCGGCAGACCGCGTTGTCGCCTTCATGGACCACATCCGCATCTTCCAGGAACAGGTGGAGAAGCTGAAGGCGCTGCACGTCGATTCGGCTGAATACAGCTGTCTGAAAGCCATCGTCCTCTTCACCTCAGGTGAGGGGACGGGTTGGGGATGTGAGATGTCTGGGAAGGAAAAAAAAGGCAAAAAAAACCCCAAACTACATGCAGGAAAATAAGGAAATAATTTAATAGAATTATTTCTAAAGGAAAGGGACTGGAGGTCGAGGAAGCCTAGCACCTGATGGGGATATGCTCTGGTCCAGGGATCATCCTCATTGCCACTGATACTGGCTCTTTAACACACAGCCCCTCCAAAAAAAAATACTAAAAACCAAAATCAAATTAAGTGTAGGCGGTGGAAACATGCATGTTAACAATTTTTCCCTGTGATAGATGGTTTGAATTAACTAGCAGGAAAGTTGCATTAGCATTGCCTTTGAAGTGCTCTGGTCATAGCCTATAAGAATATAATACGTATACTATTATTGTAACCTGCAAGGGAGAATTTATAAACATCAAAGGGGAACTATGTGAAGGAAATATAGGAAATAGAAACAAGGCAAGATAAGAGTCTGGGCAGTGTAGTTTTTTAATTATTCTAATTATCATCACGATATGACTAATTGCCACCTTTCCTACTTGTTTTTCTTTTTTTTTCTTTTTCATTTTTATATCCCCTCTCCCCATCCCCTAGCTCCTCTCTTTTATGAGATTCTCCCCTCTTTTCCGATTAGCAATAACTGAGCAGTTCTGATAAATGTGGCTTAAAACCAGGCCGAGGCAAAATTAAAAGCATTCCTGAACAAAGATGGCAAATCGTTCAAAGGCCTTGTTTAACACTGAGCAGTTTATAATCCATCAATATTTGCTGCCTTTCAAGCACGAAAGACAGTATTTACATTGTATTAAAATGTCTCCTAAATTTGCACTATATTGTAATGTAGCAAATGTAGTATTAATATCGATTTATGAACATCAGATAATTTATTTAGACAGGAGTATCTAATTTGTATGCAGGGTGGTCAGAGACATGTACTGTGACTGCCCCCTTTTACTTCCAGTGCAAATGCAGTTTCGCAGCATTGGAGAGAATATTTCTTTGCAAAGGATAATGTGCAAATCTTAAAACAAATGGAAGATTTACTGAATAGCCAACTCGACATTTTAATGTATTTTATCATAATAAGTCTTCTTGATGGAAACATGTTTTTCAAGAGTGACAAAGAGACCTGCCTGCATTTATCAGGGTGATTTAACTCCACAGCCTGCCTGCAGACTCCCAGACTTTCCTTTCCCATTCGTTTCAGGAAGCTCATCAATACACATGGATAGCCAAGGAGAACCTTTTTTTTTTTCCCCAGATGTAACTTGGAGAGATTCTTCCCAAGCAGAGCTGGGAAAATGTCTGGCCTGTGCCTCAGCCCTTCCACACATCAAAGGCCCTGTGAAGGAAGTTGCCCCTTATAGGGACTTGGTTGAGGCAATATTTTATTTTTTCTTCTTTTTCTTCTCACCCTGTTCCCTCCAATCTTCCCCCCTTTACTTCTGAAACAATTGACCTGGCTAGAAAAAGGGTAAGTGGCTTTAGAGGAGCCCTTCATTTACATATAATAAAACCAAATGTAATAACATTTGTGAGGGGAGAAGCCCCTTCCCACAGTGGAGTGGAGAATGAAGGAAGGGAACAATAATATTATTTCAGAGCAGGATCACACAAGGCATCTCAGAAAATGGAAATACTGCTGTCAGGAGTAATCTACTACTCCTTACCCCATCCGCACATTTCCACTTTTCACTAAACTTGTTTTCATTGCATATTCAGAGGGGAATTAATGAGAAGCCTTTCTCTAAGTCATCCAAGTTTTAAACAAACTTTAAGTGTCAGAAAAGACATTTTTAGGCATATTGTGTAAAGTCCTTCACTGAGGACAAAGTGTCTAAAACTGGCATGGATTTTTCCTGTTGTGGTTTCCACATTTGGGCTCCAGAGAGCATATATTTATTCTGTAAAATTCTGGACACCATCCAAAAGCTGTGTAGCAACCCAAAACCAGCTCCCTTCTTTCCTCCTTTACCCTTCTCTTGTATACCCTCCTCCTTGCCCTCATCTCCTTCTCCCCGCTGCCAAACTTTGGCATTATTAATTCCTGCATCTACCATTTCATTGTCATAAATAAATGTTTCCGGGAACAGACAGAGACAGATAACATAAATCAAATAAATCTATTTGCAGTGCAATAAGAACTTTTGATTTCTAGTTAGATGCCAGTTGATTACGTCTATATTTTCTGAACACTAAACTCTTCTGAACATGTAACATGAAATACATTGCCGCCACTACAAAGGGAAGGCTGGAGTGTGTTGAACAGTAATGGTTATTTATTTACATAATTTCTTTTCCATAGACTGCAAGAAGAAATATAGAGCTTTCCCTTATTGACACACTGCCATATAAAAAAGCAAGGCACACACAGGATTTTCACATTAGCCCACTTTCTGAGATGGAATAATAATTTACCTTCAGTAAACATGACTTGCATTATTTCTCCCATGTATTGCACCTTTGTGGGCTACATAATCTAATCAAGTTGTGGATCCCTTAATTATTATTATTTTTAATCTCATTCTGAAGGGAGAATTGAGCCTTTCCACCCCCACTTTAGGTTGTGAAATAAAACCCAAGTGAAGGCATATGCCAGACCATTTAAAATAATTTAAGCCAAACAGATACTATCAGCATGAGAAAATTCTGAGTTTTTGGAGGTCTAAGGCAAAACCCGTGGCAATTTTTCAAAAACACATCAGGCTGATGCCCTTTTAGAGGGCAAGTTCCCCATCCACATTGTCCAGTGACCTGCACTTCTAGGTGCACTTATTGTAAATGTCTGATAAATATTTTACTAACCTTAAGGGTATGACATATGGGGCATAAAGAAAAAAACTCTGCCAGGGTGTCAGTAAGACTCTTTCATATTGCATTGTTTGGAAGTTGAATAGGATCCTAATGCATAATGGGCAGATAATGCATGTAAAATAGCAAGATATATGTAAATATGGAATCTGATTTGTGGCAATCAACATATGAACAGGTCTGTGGTTTTTGATATGTATTGCAAACAAGAACAGGCCGCAGCTTTTGATAGATATGTATGTTGCAACCTGGTGCTTTAGATGTTGCAAAATATCATTGCATTAAAGGAAAAGTATGGATTAACAGAGCAGCCTGGCTTAGATAATTGTGTGTCTGAGGGATGCCAAGTCTGCAGCTCAGGTCAAAGGTTCTTCTTCTCAGAAGTTCCTAAATTATGGCTTGTTTTATTTGTATTTTTGCTTGAGGCCATAGTACTGTAGATGAAGGTGTTCAGAAATCTTTGTAAAGTTAGTTCTCGGTAAGGGAAGACTTAAGCTTCAAAAATGCCTGTGCAACAGATTTTTATTTTATTTTATTTTTAGTTTTGAATAATTTGTTGATTTGTTGCATCTTTCCAGGGTCACAACTCTACATTCACATTTTTATAATGTTTTTTTTAGGGGCCATTAACTAATTCATATATAGATCTATATATTAGTAAAGTCTGGCTTTGATCTGTTAACCTGCACTACTAGCTAACTGCCTTGCTCTGATCTTGATGGCTGGAGGCATTTTTTTGTTTGTTGGTTGTTTTTTTGGTTAGGTTTTTCAGTTATTGTTTTGGTTTGGTGTTTTTAATATCTATTCTGAATCTTCGAAACAATGTGGATGGTTTCAACTGTCTGGGCATAGTCACGACTTTTCCATGACTGCAGTTTCCTGAGAAAGTCCTTCCACAAGCAGCTGGTGCCCAATTATCCTCTGGTTTGGGTTATATGTTCTTTGAGATAGGATATGTGCTTGTAAGTGTCTCTATGTGTGTGCAAATGCACAGATGCATCCATACCTCTCTGCTTGTATCTATATAAACAGAATAAGGTGTATAGATACAATACGTGGATGTAAAGAGCTTCTGGTCTCGGATTAGTGCATTCTTGCCCAGGTGACGTAGTTCTGCAAGGTGCAAGGTGTATGTTTCTGACAGTTTGGGTGCCAGAAGGACCTATAAGGAAGGAGTCTCTCTGGTTTCATTTAGGCAAGGCTTAGCTGCTGCAGCTCTTCCCAGCTTTGTGTCTGAAAGCTACAGACGCCTGCTGAGCACAAGCTGGGACTAACCTAGCCCTTTGCTACTGGATTTATCACACAGCCTGCAAAGACGTCTCAAATTTGCCATCACTGGCAGAGAGGCAGAAGCAGAGGAGACTCCCCTGCCCCACGGCATCCCCCAGCCGGCTCCCTGCCAGTCGCTGCAGGACCCAGTCGCTGCCTCTCTGTGATGTGCAGCCATGTAAACAAACTCCTTGTGTCTCACTCTGCTTGTGTGCAACTCTGATTATTATTATTATTATTATTATTATTATTATTATTATTATTATTATTATTATTATTATTATTATTATTATTTTCCCCAATACCTTATTTGTCTTCCTCTCAGCGTAATTTAAGGGGGCTGGTCCAGGTTTCCAGCATCCCGGTGATGGCTCCCTGGAGCAGAAACCACCCTCGGCAGCGCAGAGTGTCGGTGGGGGGTTGTGAAAAGGAAGTGTGTGTGTGTGTGTGTGTGTGTCTGTGTCTGTGTGTGTGTTTGTGTGTGTTTGTGTGTGACTGGGACGAGCGGGTGTTGGCACCCCATCGTATCCTGGGTGAAAACACCCACGGTGGCAACGAGGCACAGCGAGGTCGCGTTATTTATTTGGCAGTGGTGCGCGGGATGGGATGGGGTAGCGTGGGGTGGGATGGATGGGGTGGGATGAGATGGAATGGGATGGGATGGGATGGGATGGGGGGTGCGCCTTTGGGCTGCCCCCCATCCTCGCAGAGTTTCCCTGTGTGGTTCCCAGCCACTAACCATCTCCCCCCCGCTTTATCCTCCTCCTCCACCTCCTTCCTCCACTCTCCTCCCGCCGTTCTGCGGCTGGCTCCGCGGGTGCGCTGCGGTGGGCAGACGCCTGCGGCCTATCGGATGCTGCGCACATCGAGAGCCTCCAGGAGAAATCGCAGTGCGCGCTAGAGGAGTACGTGCGGAGCCAGTACCCCAACCAGCCGAGCCGCTTCGGAAGCTGCTGCTGCGGCTGCCCTCCCTGCGCACCGTCTCCTCCTCCGTCATCGAGCAGCTCTTCTTCGTCCGCTTGGTAGGTAAAACCCCCATCGAAACCCTCATCAGGGATATGCTACTGTCGGGGAGCAGCTTCAACTGGCCTTACATGTCCATCCAGTGCTCCTAGAGCCCATCCCGCACCCCCGGCTGAGAGGCGGCGGAGCGGCGGAGAGGGGAGCGCTCGCACCCAGGGGCACTCGGGGTGCGGGGGGGGCCCGGGAGGTGGACACTGAACAAAAGAAAGGGCAAGTGGGAGCAGAGATGTGGCCGTGGAGGGGAGAAGGGACGGACCTGTCGTCCGTGGAGGTTGTGATGTTTCGCCTTTTTTTTTTTTTGGCCTATTTTGGTTTTTTGTTTTATTTCGTTTTGTTTTCTTTCGGAGAGGAGGAAAAAAGAAATAAATAATATTAATAAAAGAGACAAAAAAAATGAGTATTGAGGGGATATTAATCAAACCTGAAGGGGATACTGGATCTTCCAGGATTTATTGTGGACTGTTGTTGATATATGCTGTACAGTAAACCAACAAAACAAAAAAGCATTGAAACTGAACTGAACCTTGTGTAGAATAAAAACAAAACCGCCCAAAACCAAGCAAACAACAACAAAATTTCCATGCGCAAACATTTACCACGAACATTGTTACTCCTTTTGTAATATATTAGCCTTTATTTTCAATTTTGGTAAAAGTTAAAACATCATATGCGCATAAAGGAAAAAAAAAGGAGAATTAGGGGAAAATAACATTTTCCAAATAATTATAAGAGAATTGTCCTGTGTCTATGTATCTATATCTGTTTGTATTTTTTTCTGGTTCCAAACCAGGTTTCCTGTGATTCTATACTAATAATTTTTGATATAACCCTTTGCTTCTTATAATGAGTGCGATATATGTTGTCAAAGCTGTTCTTCAAGAATTAAAATTGAAGTGAGAATTTAAAAAAAATAAAAGAATTTAGCAAAAAAAACCCCAACTTATCACCCCACAACCCATGAGTCTTGTTGCTTGAAACATGCCAACAATTCACAAAAAAAAAAAAAAAGGAAAAAAAAAAAAGGAAAAAATCATAAACAATAAAAACAAAAATCTCCCCACATTTTTAACTCCTTTACTGGTGCTAAAAAGGAGAACTTGAAAAATACTTGGGAGGGGTAACAAAGTCATGCAAACTACGGGATGCTCCAAAATGGACTTGACTGTATAAGCTTAGGGCTGAGCTGTCAAGGCCTAGAAAAAGGGAGCAGGAGTTGCAGTGTGATGCCTTAGGTGACCTCGCCTCACTGGGACTGCACCACAAACCTTTCTCCAAGGCTGATGGGCCTGTCAGCCTGGCCTGCCCCTTTTTGAAACACCTTTTCCCATCACCTGAATTTCCTGCTGAGTTCACACCTTGCTTTTTACTCTCAGACACCATGGGCATGGATTGAAGTCACCACATGCCATCATCTCTGCCTGTGCAGCAGGAGGCATACTCTAGCCATGGGTCCTGTTTGTTCCAGGCATGATGGCTTTCCGCTTCTGGGGCTTGGCTGGGGTTGACTTTTTTTGGTTTTATCTTCTTTTCCACTCCAAGGGCTCGCAGACCCCAATATGTACTCCAGTGTGCATGCCTTGTGCTTACTGTCAGCCAGAACAGATATCTTGATTTTTTTCCCAAATCTAGTTGCTGTGTGTGGAGGGTATTCCCACTCCATTAATATAGAAATCCAGCTGGATGCTTGCTCATTGGGTGGTGAGCTAGTGCATTTCATGTATGCTTATGTGCCATGGCCATGCAAAAAACACAGGCTGTGACATCCCACACCATGGCCCACCCACTGCCAGGGCCTGAGCTCTGTGCCAAAAACCCCTTTTCATTTCAGGTTGTCTTTTTTTCCCAGAAAATTAAAAATCGTTTTTGTAATGGAGCTCCTTTGAAGGTAAAGGCTTCTAGCTGGTGGTGCAGATCTCTGTAACAGCTTTCAGTGCATTAATGTTTTATAGGATCTGAGACAGAGCTGTAAGAACACATACTACCAAGGGAGCTCTTTCTTAATGTATTAATAAAGCTGGATCTTTAAAAATAACATTGTCCCTCTCACACAGACACCTCCTGTGCCCTCCAAACAAGTCTAGATGAGGTAGACTTTTCAGTTTGTGAAGACATGGGCAGTGTTTTCCCTTTAATTTGCTATCTTCCATAGTCTCCTATTTCTCCTTCCCTCTCTCTCACAATCTCTCCCATCCTTTTTTTTTCATTCTTTATTTCTTTTTTTCCCTTTTTTCTTTCTTTAACAAGATTCTTCAATTCAACTCGCTTGGGGTTTTTAATATTCTAGACGCAGCAGATCTGAGGTGAGAGCAGCTCTATACAGTAGACAGTTATAGCTGGATAATCAACATTACGGGCAGATCCTTTATGGGCTATCACCCCATTCAGGATGGAGAAACGGCCTGCATTCATAGGTGCTGGGAGTGGGGGGACTTGGATAATTCCAGACCTGAGCACACAAGAACAAGGATTTGGGAGTTAGACAGACAGACAGACATCCTCCCTTTTGTCACTCACTTGGACACTGTATGAGTGAGAGCTTTGTTCCTGCCCTTCCCCGGGGCCTTCCCTGGAGAAAGGGAGTCCAGCAGCCCCTCCGGGCTCTCAACAGGGAGTGAGAGGGAATGCTCAGACATGGGAGGTGCTGAAAGAAGTATTTTCAGCACTGCTTTATGGTGGGATGGTGATTTGGGACCCAGATGAATTAGCAGTTTAAAAAAAGAAAAAGAAAAACAGCAAAAGAAGACAAAAAACCCAAACCCGAGCCCAAAAAACACAAACCCACCAAAACAAACAAGCAAACAAACAAACAAACAAACACCCCCCAACCAAAAATAACAACAAAAACAAACTAACAAAACAAAAACCAGCCTCCCTATACCTAAAAATAAACAAAACAAACGGGGATATCGGAAGAGAAAAACAGGTCTCGGTTCTTCCAATGAGATGTAAATAAATTCATTACAGTGTTGTCCCACTGTTGAAAACAGATAAACTTTTTCGTAGATATTTTTCAATTAATTTTCATATTTATGAATAATAATAACCCACGGATTGCCAAGAAACTTGCAGGTGTAGAGGAGGTGTACGAGATGCACTTATTTCCATGTATGTGCCTAGACAGAAGTGTTTCAATCCCTTATTAAACTTTGCTTATAAGACGGTCTTGTGTTTTGAAGTGTTAACTACCCAGTCTGCGTTGTGTCAGTGGATGTTTTCCTTTGCCACGCTGCAGCTTCTCGGGCATTCATATGGCATCTAAAAGTACTGCATCATCGCGTCATTTGCTGGGGAAAAAAAAATAATATGTGGATGTGGAGACGGGCTGGGGTCCCTCAGCAAGTTTCTGCCGACTTATTCGTCATCTACAATATACTGCTTTAAAACTAGCCCCATCTACATTTCTTCCGCCGTGTTGTTGCCGGGGGCCCGGGCGCTGTCCCCGGAGGCTCCTCGGTTCCCCAGGCTCCTCAGGAGGCGGGGTCGGCAGGGAGTTCCCTCGCATCCCTGCATCCTGCCGCGCCGGGCTCCGCGGCCCCTCCATGCTCACCAACAGCTGCGGCAGCACTTCAAAGGCTGGGGTGGGGTTGGAGGGGAGGAAGCTGGGGGTCGATGGAATTTGGGAGAGGGCGACCCTCCCATCCCAGCCCCGCGCAGGGGACCTGCTCGGGGCAGGGCAGTTAACAAAGCGCTCCTCTTAGCACCTCGCTAACTAGCTTGCCTCCTCCCACCGCCCAATTAGGCCTTTTCTATACATTTAATCGAATAAATATTTGGAAATGCTGCTAAGTGGTAGGTTGAACCCGAGCTGAGGAGGAGGGGGGCTTGCCGGCGGTGGCAGGGGTAGCGCCGAGGCGAGGGTCGCTGCGCGCCCCTGTGTGTGTGCGTTCCTCCTCCGGCTGTCCCTGAACGCCACGGGCTGCGGCTTCCCCTTCCTGGGATTTCTCGACACGCCCTTGCCCCCGGAGGCACCTTTTGGGTGGCTCGGCTTCCACCCACCTCCTCCATCTGCAGGAGGAGGGTGGTAAGCCCACTCTAAGGGTGGGGGTAAAGGATAAGCCCCACTTTCTCCGTATCCGTCGAAATAAAGTGGAAATGGGAGGGAGCGTGGGTATGGGACTCCATCACGAGTGACCTGTTTCATCGCCACCAATAAAATCGACGGATCAAGATGCAAAAGACTTTTTTCCTGCTGAGGTAAATGGAGGGTCTTGCACGAAAATCTGGCTCGGGGTCACTGCAAGTGTCAGCAGAAGTAATACAAGAAAAGGTAGATTCTGCGTGGGTTCACTCGCAAGAGACTGGTTGGTTACCTACACAAAGACAGTAATGTCTTTTATCTGACAGAAAGGGCTGAATAGGACCTCCGGTTTTGTTGGTGTTTTGTTGTGGTTTTTTCGGTTTTGGTTTTTTTTGGTTGGTTGCTTGGTTGGTTGGCTGGTTGAGGGGGGTTTTTTTTGTGTGTGTGGTTTGGGTTTGGTTTTTTTTGTTTTGTTTTTGTTTGTGGTTTTTTGTTTGGTTTGTTGTTGTTGTTGTTGTTGTTGTTTTTGAGGGGAGTGTGTTTGTTTGATTTGTTTTGCTCGGTTTGGTTTCTTCTCATTACCTGTGGGGTGTGGCAGCCAGACGTCCCCTTCTCAACAGACAACAGATGCGACCAGCTGCGAGCAGGCAGGGTTGGCAGGGACGGTGGCACTGGTTGGCTTGGATGGACTCTCCGACAGATGGACAGAGGGACGGAGGGTTCAACAGGGATGTTAGGGCTTGCTGCAGCCGCCCCCTCCAGCAGTGTCCCGGCGCGCAGCCATTCACAGGGAGTGTCCGCGAACGCGTGTGCACGGCTGTTACAGGCGCTGGCGACATGCTTCCTCCGGTTTCATGGGACATTTTGACTATTCAAAGCGTTAGTTTATAAGTCTTGAAATAGCGGGTAGAGTCTCCTCTCCTCTCCTCTCCTCTCCTCTCCTCTCCTCTCCTCTCCTCTCCTCTCCTCTCCTCTCCTCTCCTCTCCTCTCCTCTCCTCTCCTCTCCTCTCCTCTCCTCTCCTCTCCTCTCCTCTCCTCTCCTCTCCTCTCCTCTCCTCTCCTCTCCTCTCCTC